TAGAAAAATATATAACGAGGCTGTATGCAACCTTTCTTTATCAAGAAAGATGAAATTAGCATGGATAGACCTCGTACGTTTTTCTCTTGAGAACAGTGTTCCTTACATTGAAGAACTGGAATTAGAACGACGTGTGTGTCAACAGAATGGAAAGCTATTCATGTATTTATCACCTTTTGTTATTGTAGAAATGTTGTCTATGTTAAGGTAATAGATCTCAGTAGATCTCAGTATCTACAGTCAATGACGGACCTTAGGACACTCCTGATCTATGATGATGGAAGATACATTCCTCTGGGAACTAGAGACATCTCCTGGCAGATTCTGGCATATGCAAGCATCTTGTGGGAGACTAAGAAGGGGCTTAATTTACGGTCATTTAGAGAGTCGCTTAAGCAGCAGCCACACCACAGAATACAAGAAGCCACATATATTAGAATAGGTTGTGTTCAACAACAATTACACAGAAATGGGGAAACTTGGTCATACTTCTTTCATTTTATTATGTCTCTATCACAAATTATGTAAAATGGTACGCACTAGTTGTAGACTATTGGTTTGAGTAAAAACCTTAAACTTGTTTTGTATACAGAAATACAAATTATAAAAATATAAGATGATATATCTTATTGATCCAACACGTTATATTACATTCCGATTTTGTCTTACTGCATAATGAGAGTTTTTTAAATCTTCTTTTGTTAAACTTTTTTAAAAACATTTAACGTTTCGACATGTTCAATCGCCTCTATGTATACTTAAAATTTTAGTGAACAATTTTTACATTATTGTGTCCATGTTCAAAATACACCAAAATAATCCAGTCGATTAAAAACAAACATGCACGTTTCTTTTTTTAAAAAATATTAATTTGTCAACATAAAAAATAATATGTTGACTAACAATGTAAACGTCATGAAATTCACAAAGAAGTAATAGAATTGAAATGTTTGAAGAAGCAAAGATTGATTGATTGATTGATTTGTTGATTGCATTTTATTTTATGTCCTGTTCGAAAAATTTTTACTCATATAGAGACGTCACCATATACCAGTAATGGGCTTGAAATTTTTACCTTTACTCAGCACTCAGGGCAATTGAACAGTGAGGGATCTTTATCATGCCAACACATGTCAAGGCAAGGGGCCTCAATTTTAAAGGTCTTATCCCAAGGACCCGCAACTTTCCGAGCGCAGGAACAATTGCTAACCATTCTTTATTGACTTTGGTCAGTCGCGACCGAGATTCGAACTCCGACCACTCCACGCGAGGATCAAACCATTTTTTCTGCACTAGACGGGTAACGCAAACTTATGAGCTTTTTTTGGAATAAGTTCATCAGAGATGACCTAGAGATGGCAAATCTTTCGAAAATTTGTGTAAAAGTGTAACTTTTGTACCAAATGAATGATCTGGACATTGTTCTTTTTGTCAAATCAAAATACAATATCGGGAAATATTCTATTTCACAGGATCTCCATACATTAAAATAATGCAAATATTTCATGTGACAGATTTATAAAATTTTTACTTTTCGTGTGCGTCAAGAATCCTGCTGAATGTCAATCAAAAGCGCTCTTGTTCTTATATTGACCATAATAGAAATCAACAGATGAAATATTGAAAATACAAACAGACAAGTTTAGAGGGAATAATTTTTTTTAAAAATCATGCATCTACGTGAACAATAGAAAAATGCATTAATTCTCTTGGAATGAATCAGCTGGTGTTTCAATTAAATTATTTACTAATTATCATGAAATGAAAAGCACATGTAACACATTAGTAGAATTTCCTCAAAACAACTGATTGGTAAGATAAACCATTTCCATTAATCTAGTAATAATGATATAACACTTATCAAACATTAAAAGGAGTACCAAAGCATAATCAAAGTACTGAAAGCACTCATGGGAGTTGAACATGGTGTAAAATAAAATCTTTGATCGGGAGATTAAGTGAGTAAACAATATTATTACAATATTTCAAATACAGACAGCTGTTTCAGTTTTTTTTGTTATGCAACAATCTTGAGAAAGACATTCAGAGACATTGAATAGCAAAAAAATGCATGGGCCATAATGCTTGCCTGCCTATATGAGTCCTTTTTATACCCCCTGCTTGAAAAGCAGGAGGGTATTTTTTAATCGGGATTTCCGTCCATCTGTTTGTTACGCCTTAGGTATACCCATCTCTTATCCGCAACTCCTCTTACACCACTGAACGAAATTTTCATAGATTCTTTATTACATATTGCCGTTGTGCACGTTCTATTACTTTTTCATCCTACACATATTTGGGTTTCCCATTGCAAAACATATTCATATTAGAGGCGGTTGATCATTTATATAATTCACTGCTCACATACAGTCTTCAAATTTGTAATTATATTTTTCCTTGGCACCTTTACCCATATGTTATGAAAATTTCAATTTCGCATGAATAATATCAATGTTGATAAAATGTGGATTTTAACACAGCATCCTTTTAAGAGCTAACAGGTTTGTTATATAAAACTTCTCTGTGAATATAAATGTATTTCAGTTACACGAACATTATACATGGAGTACGTCAGAATTTAATCTTTTTTAAAATTTTGAAGAAAAAAGCAATAACAAGCAATACCAAGTTACAAACAAATATTTCATGACCAAACATAAAAACAGTGGTATATGTGAGAGTTTGTGTGCGCACAAATTATCTGGTATGTAAATGAGGTTTTCCTTTTATTAAAAAAATATACTTCATTTTGTTGCTTTTATTCGCGATTTTACGAAAACATCGGTGTCCGTTTTTGGTTTTAACATTTATAACAGGTTACTAGATTGAACGCTCTTGGCAGGTGATACTGCTGATTTAGTAATAAATACGCATATTTCCTAAAGTTTTTATGCATTAATGAATTCATTTAAAACAAGAAGATGTTCAAGAAAAGTTTGATTCTGTGCACCGGTAAAAAAGATATTGCTAAAAATCCGGGACCGTCGGGCGTCGAGAAGACTATATGTAACGCTTGCCGTCAGTATGACGCTACACGGAAAATGAGTTCCATTACGAAAAACTTTTGAGGTTCTTTTATAATTATGTTCCCCAAACGAAGTTGGGGAACATATTGTTTTTACTCTGTTTCTTATTATTATTATTTTTCTTCTTGGGAAAATTTTGTCCGCGAATGATCTTGTAAAGTACACATCCGATTAAGGGGAAACCTTTTTAGGATAAGTAGGCATGTTATGTAGATATGCGGAACGAAGGTCATTTTTCGCGCACGTGCTTGCAAGAGCGCGCACGTGCAACACGTGAAATGACCAATATACTTGAAATTGCCGTAACTTTTACATTTTTTGATGTAATGCTTTGATATTTAGAATATATAGACATATTATAAATGTAGATAAGATGACATTCTCAACATGCCATTTTGAGCGCACGTGCTTGCAAGAGCGCGCACGTGCAACACGTGAAATGACCAATATAATTGATATAGCCGTAACTTTTCTATTTTTTTATGAAATCTTTTGCAATTTATAATGTAAGGATATATTAATAGCGTAGACAAGAAGACATGGTCAAAAAAGCAAGATCTCACGCGCATGCACGTGCGCTTAGCTCTGATTGGCTGAAACTAAAGTCTCTATAACTTTCTTGTTTTTCGACGAAATCCTATGAAATTTTGAACATAGCCATGCATTAGGATACCCTACAACATGATATATAGCAATTATCACGAAAACATGTGCATGCACGTGTGCTGCAATCTGATTGGCTGAAACTTTAAATAGTTATAACTCCCTTGATTTCAACCAAACAGGATGGAATTTGGAACATAGATAGATATAATGAACTTCTACAAGACGATATGGTTACCATGCACATGCATACACGTGCGTGTACGTGCACTGTAATCTGATTGGCTGAAACTTTAAACAGCAATTTATCCCTTGGTTTTCAACCAAACGGGGTAGGATTTAGAACATAGATAGATGTAAAGGACTTCCACAAGAAGATATGGTCCCCATGCTCATGTATGCACATGCGTGCACATGAAATTACATAAATCAAAAATACACTTAAATGAGCGTATTTTTTAATACTTTTGGATTAAATACGTTAATATTTGGTATATAAAAAATATATATAGATTGTGTAGACAAGATGATATGGTCATTACGCACATGCATTCACATTTGCACGCATGCAATGCTAAAATTTGAATAAACTTGGCGTTGTTAAAGTCTCAAATGCATAAGTTTTTGTCTTATTTAATGAAGCTTACAGGGAATATGGCACCAAAAGGTAGTTGGGGAGCGTTTGGGGAACATCTGTAACGGTCCCCGTTACAATTAGCACTAGTTTTAGTTTTTCTTTTAACGAAATCTAATATTCAAAATAAGATGACTTTATCATTACATTTACTTACATTTCAAATTATGAAAATTAGATCAATTCAGGAGAAATGACATGAACTATTTGTGGCGGATGTTTATGCATGTTTTCTGTTGAATATCATCGGAGTAAATCGGGCGACACAGAAGCCTCGCTTTCGGCTCTATATAATCAACACAAATTACTGCGCATGTTAAATACGTGATGACCATGGGAGATTGAACATACATGTAGTTCAACTCCCAAAAAGTATCACAAAATACGAATATTCTGTAATTTTTTCTCTGTAATTCAGAATCCTAAAACAATAATACATGTGTATTGTATTAACTAAAGTCTACATTGATACATAAAGGATCCATCACAGTTACAATTAAACAGATTTATATAATATGATGAGTTTGTTTTGTATGTCAATCAATTGTTTTCCCCACCTGTAAAGATAACAAAGTGAGCAATGCGCTTTGTTCCTCAGAGATTATACTCTATATATATATGGGTTCTTAATTTAGCATCATAAATGACAACTGTATGGTACAAAATCTCTCCGTCATATACAGTCATAAAATGGCATTGTCAAACAATAATGTTGCGTATCATATTAACTTGCAACATGTAACTGATTGTATTTTGTAAATATTCCATGCGAAACTTTTTTTCATATGCAGTATCCATTTAAAAATGTTTAGATACAGTTTATATTCCCATTATTTAGTTTTTTTTTCTTATTTTTAATCTTTCGACATTGTTGTTACAATTTAAACATACAATGGCAAACATCAAGGAGCCTTTGGAATTTACTATTGAGAAAAGTATAAACAAGAGTCTCCTTGGATCAAACAAGATAAAAATGTTCTGAAGGTCTGAGAAACATAATATGTACAACAAATTTGACAGGAATGTTGAATTTTTATCTTATCAGTTCTGGTTCAATCATCTGGCACAGGCATTGTCTTTGCATGTAAGTATTATGTCTGTAACTCGATGTAGGAATAGGGATCCATTTACTCAGTATCTCCCTCTTTTGAAATATGGTTGATAAAATAATTTGGTCTGCTTCCTTCTTTATAAAAAATGTAATTGTCGATTACGAAAATGTGATTAAAAATGGAATGATTTTCATGTTTTTGCAATTTTATCAATTGAAATAAATATCTATTATACAATTGGATTGCGTATAAGTTCTGAAAAATTTAATTCGCCCTTTCGCTATGCTTACTTTGCCATTACTAAGGGAGACATTTGATATTACATGTACCTGGATTTCTTCATCATTCCACATTGGTTTCTTTTCACGTAAAATGTGACAAATAAATTCCTGTAAAAAAGTATATTATTTTAAGGTAAATCAATTATGTATAAATATAGAGGAATTTTTACATTTATGTTCTTTCCGAAGGAAAATGGAACACTGATTTACTAAGCATTCTTTTTTAAAGAATTATAGAATTTATGAATTTTCCACAAAAAGACTTAATAAATTAAATTATCATTACATTTTGAATTCAATACTGTTCAAACTTGTTAAGGGAAATACAAATCCAAAAAGAAAAAACAAAAAAATTACATCTATTTCATATCAAAGTTTTCCACATTTTGTTTGCATTTATTGATGAGATTTTGTGAAGAGGTTGCGCTACTAACCAGCGTTATTAATGAACAGCAAAATAATTAATATTTTTTACTGAGGATTTTAGAAAAATGCTTTCTGAATACACCTAGTAAACATTGATTTTTTATTAATATATTACCGCATATTTGAGTTCATCTCACAATATGCGCAGTTATCAAAGATCTATCCTTTTATTATATATATGACATCATTCACCTCCTTTTTGTAAAAAATATAATAATAAATGTGATAAGCCTTAATTTATCTATCCATCCATACAGTGTCGGCACTTAGTCACTAGGTTTACGGGTTATCTCCCCTTTTCTATGCATCAATGAAAGTGAAAGGTGGGTGATGAAAGTATCCGATTTATTTTTTTGCATTATGAAATACCCTCCCTCCTCAACCCTTGAGCTAGGTGTTAAGTATATACACTTTCCTTTTGTTTGTTTAAATTATGTTTTTTCATTGTTTCGCTATACCAAATTTATTAAAGCTATGCAAATGTTGTTGAGAATCTTTTTCTGCTGTGGGTTTTTGTTTTTGTCTTTTCAGATATTAGAGATTTCGTTGAAGGAGACAAACGATGCTGATCAGAATTGCCTGCTATTTCCGTTTTCTGGGACCTTTGGAATGCTCCCTGGCCTAATACAATGCGTGACAAGGGTCGACTTGGCGAATTATCCATTCGAGGAGTTCGGGGAAAGACAGTAGACTATACTTCACAGTAGTCGTATTGGCGAAATCGTCAGCTTCAATTTAACCATTGAACTGTTGATTTTGTTGACTTTTGTGGTTAATGTTGATACATTGTATATGTGATAGTTGATGTTGATATATGCGATGTTGAATAGAAAATTATATCTTATATAATGTAAAGCTAAAGCAAAATAACATAATTAAACGATATATAATTTGTGTTGAAATGTGTCCGTAGCACGAATAGGTCAATCCAGAGTGCTACTATTCCCGACAGGGAGGGCACAACTTATGTTGATGTTGGGGGTATGCCAGTTTGCCCCACTGTTGTGTAGACCACTGTGGACAATACCTGCCAACTCTAATAAAACATTAAACTTAAATACTTAACATTTGTTTATATATATATATATATATATATATATATATATATATATATATATATATATATATATATATATATATATATATATATATATATATATATATATATATATATATATATATATATATATATATATATATATATATATATATAGGTCTTTGATAAACTGCTATCACGAAATTATCAAATACTGCTTTGATATTATTAATACTAACGTGTTCATTTAGAAATCAATTAAATACACTCTAGCTTACCAAAGCCTCTAAATTGTTTATATTCTATAATTGATTGGGTATTTGAATAAAGGATTATGCAAGATTTATTATCGCAGAACCCGTATGCAAAGATAACAAAACAAAATGCAAGATTTATCTATATACATCATAAAAGCATTTTTAAAGATTCTAATAATTAAGTAGGTCCTGAAAAACATGAGGCATATCTTTTTAATTTATCTTCAAAAATAACATTTTTATTTTACTAATTTATATAAATATTTTCAATGTTTTACAGAGCGGTCTATCAAAAATAAAAGTTACACCTCAGAATGAGATATTAGATTATTTGATTGCTACTTCACCATGTTAACATTCGGTGGTGTTCGACAGTGACTGGATTGACCAAGTTTATCCGTGTTGCGGGTAAAGGAAATTTACATCATGGAAGCTACTGAAGATACGTGTATGGTAAATAAAACTAAACGTTTATTGACTGTGTTCTAGGACCGAATGCTTTTGTTAACCCTCTAACTTAACCGTTTACCTGAAGCTAAAGCCGTTTGGCCGAATGCAAACAGTTTCGTTCGAGGGTCGACAAAAAGCACCTTTCACTCAAACCCAGTCAATAAATATACAGTGTATAATATTATCTACTACATGTTTACATGTGTGATATTGAGAGTACCCATATTTAAGATTCCTACTGCTCAAGTTTAATCTCAAACAGAAGTGCTAATTATTGTATCGTTAACTTGAATGAATAAATTATATAGAAAACTTCAGATATACCCGACTTGAAATTTTGTTGATCCTTGAACCCCTCACTTTTCCTGTTTTAAGCAACATATTTCCCTCAGTCAATTTACTTTATCATATATTTATGATATTACCATTGTATTGATTCTGTAAAGGATTACATATTTTGTCTAATGTATACTCAGTATCTACTTACCTTACAGGGTTCTATGTTATAATGCCTGAGAACTATCTGAGAAATTTTAAAGGAAATAAAAAAGTTAAAAGGATTAAAACTTTTTTACTTCCTACCGCCTCTTTTTCCGACGATGACCAATTTTAAACTGATTGAAAATATAGGTCGAAATATTTATTTCCACTTGTGACAAAACACGCAAATATTTGTACTCAATACATAGTTTAAAATATGTTCATGTTGATGATACTGTTGTTTTTGTATATAAATATCGGCATGTCCACCTACTGTTTGCTCATAGATTTCAAGAAAAGATGAAGCAATGAGAAGTCTTTGTTCTTCTTCAGATTTCAATATTTTCACTACAATTTTAGTTACTTTTACAAATAAAAAGTTACTCTGTCATGTCATATTTTTGCATACATATAATAATGGAGGTTTTTCATATGTACGTCATGTTTCTTGTATTATCAAATTGTTCCAGTTCACATCTGTAAATCTCGAAAATGAAAAAAAAAAGTCAAAAGCCTTGATTTCGTCAAGTTTTTTTTTCAAGAATCAATCACCATCTTGAAGATCAAATGAAATAATTGTATTGTTTCATGAAAAATGAATAGTTCCATTGGGGTGCTAGAGTAAGATTTCGAATCTGTGGCCTCAAAATTTGTTGAAATTATGACAAGAGGTATCTTCAGATTACTTTAAATTCTGATAGCCCCTTTTAGCTAACTTCTATACAAGACCTAATTGAAGATAGTTTAAGACCTAACTGAAGATAGTATACTGACAACCTCATGGTTTTATGTATTGGAATTTACAAGTACATTCCAAGGATACCAGATCCGGAACTTTAAGTAAAGGCAGACATTTTGTTGTCTTATACGTCTCTTTCAAAACTTTGTCCAGAATTCGATGAGCATGCTTAGCTTTCTAAAAAGAAATGAAAAATATATTATAAAACAATTATCTTGTTTCTTTAATTGAATTTAACGACAAAGTCATTATTCGCACTCCAAAGAGTTCATTTTCTTAACTGTTCAATTAACTTGTGTATTGGTATTCGTGCTTAATCTATCTTTATTAATCTATCATTGTAGCTTGCTAAATGGATTTATTATAAATTAACAAGGCCTAATCTAGTTGAAATTACGAAAACGGAATGATAAAAAAAAATATTCTTGGAAATATATTTGTATGCATTATGCTAAGAAAAATTTGAAAAAAAATTTTGTAACCTTGCCTTTATTGTAGTCAAAATGAAACACTTTTATGATGTGGACCATTTTTCGTGTTTTTACACACAATTGCATAAAAACTCCCCAATAAACAAAGGAATCGACAAATTAAAAATGATGGTGAGATGTTTTGTTTTTCACATATATCATGTAATTTTCATTCCTCTTTAATAAATGAAAGGAAAATTGGAGGTAGCCTTTCTTGCAGTGAAGTAGAGGCATATCAAAACACAAAAAAATAGGTTTTATTTTATCCAACTAGATATTTTATAAGTAGCAATGGGTTTATATAATATCAACAAACGATTGTAATAGTACTGTATTAGTCTATAAAAATTATATAATTCTTACATTATGAATAAGTTTCTCTTCCTGTTTTATATTTTTACTTAACACACGACATTGTTTTCCGTGGGGAAAAGTGGGAAGAGGGGGGGGGGGGGGGGTAAAAGGCGACAAAATTACGAATTTTACTAATAATATGTGTAATGTATAGAAAAATAAAATATAAAATATTTTTGGGAGTTGCATTTTAAAGATTCATAGACTTATTTTATTTTTAATTTAAACTCAAGCTAATCCATGCATAATTAAGCCTTCAATGAAAAGGGCGTGTATAAACATTTAAGCATGTTCAAGGAGAAAGACTAAGATCGTTTACTCTTGGTTGCTGTGTTTGTTTGTTCTTTTAACTCACAAATTGAAATAAAACAAGATGACAAGATGAAAATAATGTATCTATATATATACCAAGAAATTGATACCTCAAGATATACTAAAAGGAAAAAGAAACGCAGGGTAAAGTTAGTAGGTGAAAATATTTTATTTTTCCTTATGTATCTACCAGTATTCCTATCTAACGTTTAAAATAATCTCTAATAAGTGTAGCCAAAATTCCATTTGACTTTGACTCATAATTCGTATGCTGTTGAAACTGATTTGACGATGACCCACCCACCCCCCAAAAAACATTCTCATTATCTTCAATGTCTCCTTCGCACATCTGTCACAGCCTTGTTTCTCTTTTGCATTAAGTTCATCGGTGTGTTTATCCTACAAATAGGGATATTTTTTAACATTTTCTACAAGTTAAGCTTTAGTTGAAAGGGACCGTCTTCAGCATTTCGAACCGTATCTCCCACTCAGTCTCACGGATGTTCAATGAGAAAAAGATGGACTTTACGGAGACTAGTGGGTATTTGTGATTGTTTGCTAGACAGTCTTGATAAACCCAGGCTACGTTGGGCCAGAGGTAAGTTCTCCGAAAAAATTAGACAAACGGCGCGCGCATGCGCAATTGAGAGGAACCCTAACGTAAAGTTGACAAGCTTTAAGATGCAAATTGCGCAATCGGTTAATGTATTTATTCATCAATTCATCAATAAAAAAAATCAAAGCAAAATATTTGCAAAAATTACCAATAGTCAGAAAATACTTTTGTTACGCAAAAATATAGAATAGAGTAATGTTAAACAATTTCCTTTAAGTAGAATTTCGACATGAATGAAATATATGGCGATAACAAATAAAATTCAAACTTAAAGTCCATAAAACAATTGAAAACACGAGCAGAGCAAACACAGCCCTCCAAAGCATCAGAGGTGGGATCAGGTGCCATTGTGGAGTGAGCATCCCCTGCCGACCGGTCACACTCAACCTGATGAACTCCTTGACATGATGGGGAAATATTGGAAAAATAGGTCTTCAATTCATTCTGTAAATAATCATGGACTAACAATTAATAGGAAAAACCTAAGTCAGCATTTGACTCAATGATAAATTGTATTTGCAGCCAAGGTCATTGTATCGACCATAGAACTTACTAAATGATGACTTTAAACGAGACTGTTGATATTCTTGTTTCATCAACTTCTTTGTCAATAATTATCCTCGTTTTAAAAATTGTGCATACGACTGAGCATGCTTTTGCATATCGAATCGACTCATCTGAGAAATATAAACCCCGGATGCAGGTGATGAAGGAATATTGCTGCATAAGTAGGAGAAGTTGATGATTGAAATGTTTAATTTATCACATATATCATGGAGTCTAGTTGTTAGATTACCATAAACGTCTGTTTCAAGTAAAAAAAATCCTAATATGACACAGATGTGTCAGACTCAGTAGTATCTTTTATCTCAATCTTACCGGGATATATCGGTATATACAATGTATAAATGAAAAAAAACATAATGTTTATTGACAATACGTGGTTGAGATATTTAAATGTCAAGTTGTTGGCCACAGCAGGTGTTTTATTCTTTTCAAGTATTATATTTTAGACAAATTATGTTTAATATAAATACGAAAAAAATCCGGGGTGTAATTGGTACCCATGGGATTCCCAATAGATTGTTAGAAGACCTGGTCTGTTTTGTTCAGTTACGTTGTGACTACTAACTTCTTATGTGTTTTATCTTAGTAGTAACCTAGTTGTTTACTTGATTGTCTTTTGTTCATTCTTATTTCTTAGTTCTTGTTACTTAAAAATTATTACTTAATTCTTAATCGTAACTTCTAATCTTCTGTTTCTTTAGTTTAATTTTATCTCAGAAATGTAGGCTATTTTGAGAGAATTAGACAGTGTACCATTTAGTACATGGTTATATTAAACTAACGATAATTAATTCGTTCAATTTTGTCAATCGCAATTTCACCAGAGTACACCCGATACATGTAGACCGAACAGATTTCAAAGCGTTTCGGATTTCTTTCTCAACAACAGATTAAAAATTTCAAATTGAACAATTGACACTGTAAATATTTAGTGTTCATTAGTTAAGCAGAAGTGCTATTTTTTTTTTTTTTTGGGGGGGGGTTTCCCCCTTCTTCATCCTGAGGAAGAGACACTTCGTCCAGAAAAATTGACAATTTTCATTATATATTTACATGTACATGTATTGTGTATAATATTAACTAGTTCTTACCTCTGGAGAGTGATGCAGTGTTTTAAAATAACAAAATCCTAAATACACTACAAAAGACATTCCTAATACGATGCAAATAATAATCACAGCCTCTGAAGTTTCAGTTATTTCTTCTTGATGGGTGTTATAGACAATAAAAATCACCACTGATGTCCCTGCGACACCCATGATGAAAACAAACATCAGATTGATCCAAAAACATATAGTTTTTTTGAAGTAGGAGTTGCAATAGACGCCAGAATTCATTTCTTTTACCAAAACTGATGTCATTTTATTTATCTACAACAAATGCATATATAAGTGTATAACACAAACAAAAAGTATGAAAAAGTATATACAACTACTTGTATATTGCATGTGAAGCATTAGTATTGTAAGGTGAGAAAATCCTGCGAATTGATTCGGAACACAAGAGCATGGTCAGAGTTTGATCAACTTTTTAATCGAAGCAAATACTTAGGCTGATGCTACAAGAATTTCAAAAACCCTGTTTTCAAAATTTTTGGTCATTATAATGACCTTATCAGTAAATAAAAAGCCCATGGACCTTATAGGAACATAACATTAAGTAACAACTTTCCATTAAACCATTTAATTTGGTTCAATTTAAACCAAAGGCCATGTCATTCACAATGTCAAAACATGCGCCATTATTCATTATAAGAATACACCAAGCATGCTTAGTTTGGTTACTTAATATCAATAGACAGAGTGGGGGAACAAAAAAATGCATTTCAACTAATTAGTAATATTTAGCAAAATATTCAGCCCCTTGCCACGGGAATCCTTGATCTTAGACCAAAAGAGAAGACTTTCCAAGAATTCATGCATTTTTATCATATTATTTATATGAACCCACTCTTACACCAGAACCCTTGACCCTGGCGCCATGAAATTTACCATTTCGGAAGAGTTACCCAGTTTGTTTGATACCTACGAGAAAATGAGAAGACTTAAAGATGTTTAAGAGGTGTTTGCTCTGCTCCAATTTCTTATTATTTAATGGACTTATGAGTCTGAGTACTATTTAATACAATGTATCTCCATAAAATTAATGCATATCATATATGTATTCAATGAATCACTGACTAATTTTTGAGTTTTTAAAACTTATTGCCCCAAATGGCATTAATTGATGAGCTGTAAAAGGTTTAAGGTCTTGATGTGCTACTTTAACAAAGTAAGTAAATTGTCAATAGATAATTCCAAATTCACAAATGTCTTCTTTTCAGCTTTCGTTTCCTTGTAACCCCGTGGAGATCCGGGTTATAATAGGTCCTCAGTACCCCCTTGCTTGTCATAAAAGGCGACTAAATGGGGCGGTCCTTCGATTGAGACCGTATAAACCGAGGCCCCGTGTCACAGCAGGTGTGGCACGATAAAGATCCCTCCCTGCTCAAAGACCATAAGTGCCGAGCATAGGTCTAAATTTGCAGCCCTTCACAGGTGTAACGTTGAATATTGACCAGAGTTGAAAATTGACCCGGGGGTCATTTTTCAACGTTGAATATTGAACAGGGGTCATTTTTCAACGTTGAATATTGAGACTAAAAGTCGTTGAATTTATACCCGGGGTCATTTTTCAACAGCTTGATAATTTTTTTCTTACACCTGATGACGTCAACAAGTTGAAAATTGACCCTGTTGAATATTGACCCCACCTCAAAGTTTGAACATTTTTTTTAGCTGGGAAGTTGTTTAACGGGATTTATCATTATCACTTTATTAATATTTCGGTTTCAATTTTTTCCCTTTTCAAGAATAATAGAAATAAACATACAGTATCACCCTGTGTATATATGTACATTTTGATCAGTGCACGGTTTCAGTTATCTTTGCTGGGGCGTAGCAACGGGGGGGTGGCAGTGGGGATAAGATTTTCGACTTTGGGCAACTTTCAACTTCCCCCCTCCCCCCATTTTTTTTTTGCTTGTCAACTTTTTCAGGTAAGTAAAAAAAAAATTTTCTCCGGCTGCCCCCCCCCCCCCACTTTCAAAAACGATGCTACGCCACTGCTTCAAGCATGACAATTTTATTTTTGAAAATACTTTCCAAAATCCATGGCATCCATTAATAACTACAAAACAACGAATAGGTACGACGGCGTATGCGTGCCATTTTTTCAATGTAGATTTTTTTAATCGTTTGAACGATTTAAGAAAACGTTTGTACATTTTAACAAGAGGCCCAGGGGCCACAGCGCTCACCTGAGCACATCAGGCTTGAATTTACTCCCACCCCCAACCTCCCTCCAGGCGTTCATCATTTGAACAAACTAGAATCTACACTAACTGAGGATGATTCCATATAAATATCACTAATCATAGCTTTGAAGTACTTGTAAAGAAGATTTTTAAAGGTTTCCCTATATATCCCTATGTAAAACTTGGGTCGGCCATTTTGGCCCCACCCTAGCCCTGGGGGTCATGATTTGAACATACTTAAATCTGCTATACCTGAGGATGATTCCACATGAGTTTTATCTTTCCTGGCCCAGTGGTTCTGGAGAAGAAGAAAGATTTTTTAAGATTTTCCTATATATTCCTATGTAAAACTTGGGTCGGCCATTTTGGCCCCACCCTTGCACCGGGGGTCATAAGTTGAACAAAATTGAATCTACACTACCTGAGGTTGCTTCCACGCGAGTTTCATCTTTCCTGGCCCAGCGGTTCTAGAGAAGAAGATTTTTAAAGATGTTTCCTATATATTCCTATGTAAAACTTGGGTCGGCCATTTTTGCCCCACCCTTGGCCCAGGGGTCATGATTTGAAGAAACTTGAATCTACACTACCTGAGGTTGCTTCCACATGAGTTTCATTTTTCCTGGCCCAGCGGTTCCGGAGAAGAAGATTTTTTAAAATGCCATTAATTTTTAACAAATTCATGATTATCTCCCCACTGGAAAAGGGCGTGGCCCTTCATTTGAACAAACTTGAATCCCCTTTACCCAAGGATACTTTGTGTAAAGTTTGGTTAAAATTGGCCCGGTGGTTTTTGAGAAGAAGATGAAAATGTGAAAAGTTTACGACGACAACAACGACAACGACGACATACAACGGACAAATTTTGATCAGAAAAATCGATGATTATTTGGTTTATATGCAATAAAGTTGTTGTTCGAAAGCATACTACCATCATTTCTATTCGAAAAAATACAATTCCTATTCGTTAAACTTCTCATCTTATAACATAATTTTATCTCTATGATCTCCTATGTCTTTATTCTGTTATATACTTAATCATGTGATCAAGTTTGAGCCAATCAGAGAGCTTAGAATTAAAGGTGATATCACCTTTCCATGCTAAATAGATGCTATCACCTATTTGAATAAGTGGTATCACCTATTCGAAAAGGTGATATTACCTATTTGAGTTTCTTACAACAGTCATTAATGGATGCTCCCTATAATATATATTATACTACACTGGAACCAAGAAAATTCGGACTACCCAGTTTTCATGCATTTTCTACGATTTTCTTGTTGTATACATGATATATAAATGAAATAAATTAATTTGTAAGCAAAACAAAAAACTACAGCTGTTCGACGGGAAAAGGTGATATCACCCAATCGAATAAGTGATATCACCAATTCGATTTAGTGATGTCACCTTTTCGAATTGGTGATATCACAAATTCAAATCAAATAGGTGATATCATCTATTGGAACAGGTGATATCACTTATTCAAATAGGGGATACTACTCTTTGCAGTAAATACCAAAACGGGGCCTCATACCTATGAATTAAATCACAGTAGTGAAAACCCAATCATAAATATGTGTTTTTATGCTGTTGAATTTTGAACCGGTTTCATGATCAAAATTCCACGACCCGGCTCAGTTTTCAACGGATTAGGGTCTAAATTCAACACCTTCGGTCTCAGTATTCAACGTTGAAAAATGACCCCCGGGTCAATTTTCAACCCGGGTCAAAATTCAACGTTACACCGGCAATGGTGACGTCTCCATATCAGTGAAATATTCTGAAGAGGGACGTTAAACAGTATATAATCAATCAATCAATCGTTTCCTTGTATCTCGCTAAATGAAATAACAGGGTGATAAAAAATAAAAATTGTACATCAATGTTCTAAATTAATATATTTTCAAAATCAATATTGTTTTATGTTCAAATTCAAGACTTTTAATCTCTAAAAAATCTCTATGATATGATTGAATCAATCTTTCTACGCCTATACGTAAAATAGCACATGTTTATATATTGCTACATGTATTTACCTCCATCAAACGATTTTGGTCTTTAATTTCAATGCGAAATTTGCCATCATCGTCACTAAACCTCAACTTTGGCAACAAGCAGTTTTTTGTTTTACCGGGTATTATCTTAACCAATGAGCCATTGTAAAAATCTGAAACAAATATTCAAGGATTTCTAAAATCATTTAAAATTATGTTTGTGAAACACTATGCGCCTAGCGGCAACAAAATTTTAAAAAAGCTATTTTAAACATATATGTCACAATCAAGGTCACATGGCCATTGACCTTGGTGTCATTTGAAAGAAATTCATTTGATAAGTAAAGCTATGGATACCAAATATGAAGTCTCGACCTCTTGTGGTTCAAAAGTTATGACAAAGGTACAGAAAAACTATTTTTAGCAAACAGGTCAGTCAAGGTAATTGATTATTGATCAAGATCATTGACCTTGGTGTCATTTGAAAGAAATTAATTAGTGGAGAATGTATACTAAATTAGCATCTCTATCTTCAATGGTTCGAAAGTTATGAAAAAGGTACAAAAAGATATTGTTAGCACACAGGTCAAAGTCATGGTCAGAAGGTCATTGACCTTGTTGTCATTTGAAAGAACTTAATTAGTGGTGTATGAATACTAAAAAGTCTCTATTTTTCATGGTTTAAAAGCTATGGCGAAGGTTAAAGTTCGCAGATAAAAAGCCACTTTTAGCATATAGGTCACGGTCAAGGTCAAAAGACATTTGACCTTGGTGTCATTTGAAAGAGCTTAATTAGTGGAGTATGAAATCTTAAATATGAAGTCTCTACCTTTCATGGTTCAAAAGTAATGGCGAAGGATAAAGTTTGCTTACAAACAAACAAACAGACAGACAGGACAAAAACAATACGCCCAGGATCTATTGATCCGGGCGCATAAAATCTTTTAATTGGTACAGCATTAGACTTTCAAAGATTTACTTAAATACATCAATATATTCAAAAATATTACTGCCAATGTTAACTTAATATAAAATATATTTTTTTACATGGTAGCCAATTCAATCAAAATTTGAAGTTAAGCACAGTAAGGTAACAAGAAAACATTGATGTAACCATCAATTGTTGCCAGGAAAATAAATAAAGTAAACAATGGAAATGATTCTTGATCATCAAGCCGCTTCGATATGTGTGAAATAGGCATGCGTCTTTAAATGATGGAGACAATAGTCGAGAATATATTGAAAACTTATAGCCGGATGAAAATCGAACAAAAAAAACTCTTTTAAACTTTATCAAATCCTCAAGTTAATGTTCGATGCAAAAAATATTAATTGAAACCAGACACATGCATTACCTATAATCAAAAGATATTTCACTTTCAGAATATACAAGAAAACATTGATGTAAAAATCAATTGTTGCCCGGAAAATAAATAAAGTAAACAACGGAAATGATTCTTGATCATCAAACCACTTCGATATGTGAGAAAAAGGCATGTGTCTAAATGACGGAGACGATAATCGAAAATATTTTGAAGACTTATAGTCGGATGAAAATCGAACAAAAACGATGCTCTTTTGAACTTTATCAATTCCTCAATTAAATGTTGGCTGCATTGATATAAATTAAAACCAGACACATGCATCACTTAGATATAAAAAAAAATGTAAAACATGTCAAAAAAGAATATAAAACACGAACAGTGAAGAGTACGTTTTTATGCGACATGTAAAATTCGATGTTCTAAAAAACAAAAGGGGGACCCGTCGATAGAAAATGATAAGCAACTTTATATACTAAATATAAAAAACATATATATTTTTACAGATTCACTTTATGGAAGAAATCTCGAAATTCATAAATGGAAAGTACATTGTGATTAACAATCTTTTAAATGTTTAGAAAACCTTTAATTCTGAATAACTTCATCGACCTCAATCCCCACACATCAACACGTAAACTCATATGTATAGAGCAGCCCGGTCCTCCGGGCTGCAAATACACGAACTTTGTAGAGTACGCGTTTATATGCGATAAGTAAAATTCGATATTCTAAAAAAAGGGACCTGTCGTTTTTTTGATAGTAAATGATAAGAAACTTAATGTATTAAATATGAAAAACATAATTATATATACAATGTATTTGCAGATTCACTTTATGGAAGAAATCTCGAAATTTATAAAATGAAAGTACGATGTGATTAAGAATCTTTTTAATGTTTAGAAAACCTTTAATTCTGAATAACTTCTCCCACTTTAATCCCCACACACCAACACTTAAACTTGTATGTATAGATCAGCCCGTCCTCCGGGCTGCAACTACAGAAAAGGCGTTTTTTAAATAATTCGTACCAAGTACTCAATGAATTCGAAAAGAAATCTAGTTACAGCATTGACTTTGTTTTGGACCAAGAATTTATAACACATATTCACTTTTTATCCCACAAAGGGAATAGGCAATAATTTTATGTTCCTTGTTACAATAACAAAGGAACATAAAATAAATGCCCTTTCCCTTTGCAGGATAAAAAGTGAATATGTGTTATAAATTCTTGGTCCAAAACAAAGTCAACTACAATCTTAAACTAGATTTCTTTTCTAATTCATTGTGTGTGCCAATTCATGAGTTATGTTTTGTAACACATATGATTCAAAACGTACATATCTGTCATGTGATTGTACTTTTAAATCTTGTGTTTAAATAAAGAAGTGATTTAATATGTAGTAGTTACACCATATCAGACTGTTGGTTATGTGTAGATACCCGATGGGCGTGGTCATAATGACACGAGGGAGCGTAGCTCCCGAGTTGTCATTATGACCACGCCCATCGGGTATCTACACATAATCAACAGTCTGATATGGGGTAAATGACTTGTACCATAGTTTTCAAAAATCATTCATATGTAAGTCAGCTTAGGAATCGGTCGGACTGGTTCGCGTGATTGAAACATTAAGTGTTTGGTTTCAAAGATGCATTTGGATTTTATATGATTTTACGCTTCTTCGTGTCCTTCTGACCACGTCCATCGATTATAGGGTAAGTGATTTGTATACAATACTATTTAAATTTTGCTACATATTTTGCCCTAAACTCGGCACGCAGGGTCATTGAACAGTGAGGGATCTTCCTGTCAACACCTTCTGCGACACGGTACCTCTGTCTATACTTTATAGGTCTCCACGTCCCACAGTGGGATTCAACTCCTTATTTCGTGGCTCTAGGGCAGGTGCTATAACCACTGGGCCACGCAAGCGACATAAAAATTAAACATATCTAGGCCCGTTTAAAAAGTTTGATTTATGTCATTGAAAAAATAACGTGTTTAGTGTCAATGATATAATATTATGTTAATTTGGTATGAATTTTTTCTCGTAAATTTCAATCGTCAAAATTTATTATGAACTTGGTTTAACTTAATTTTTGGTAAACCTGATACAAACTTTGCCGTACTCAGTGGAACGTTGATTGAAATGTTTGTTAGGGGTTATGTATATTTCATTTTAATGAAAATTAGATCTTTGATCGGCTAGATCCGCAATCGAAAATGTCATTTAAGTACAGTAGTGTACACTTGCTTTTACGTCAAGTATGTACCGTGTTTCCTTTGTTCGTTATATTAGAATCTACTTAGCCAACGTCACCCTGGTCATTACACTATGTAAAAAAAAATGTTTAAAAAATCAAGCGATTTCTGAAGTTTTTTCTTCACTTTTAACTAAAGTATGTAAAGTATTAATGGCCGTTTTTAACTGTTATTTATTACAAAATACGGTATACAATTGAAAATTGTTACTCTCCTAAATTTGGTATAACAAGCCCGTATGATTGTTTCATTTAAAAACCGTGCATGATCGTTTTATAAATAGTTCTTTTGTCCCGACTCGATGGGCGGACTTATAGAAAAGTGTGGGTTATGTACAGAAAACCCACACTTTTAACAAAAGAAATCACACCTAACTATGGTACAAGCCTATATAAATATACAGATAAATACATTTTGATGCAAGACCACAATCAAAATTAGCTGTTTGCTTATTGTGTAATCCTTGATAGATAAAGTTACTTGTTATTAAAATTAATTTATCTTCGCCAATTGAAATCTTAAAGATAATTACAAATTGAGCAATACACTGCAGAATATTTTTCATGAGTTGAAGTACTTTTTCTGGATATTAAGTCAGATTGTTCTACCTACAGAAAAAGACCCTTAAATCAAATAAAATATCTTGAGTAGACCCATATTGAGTAATTTGTTAATGTTTACAAAAATATTAATATTTAAAATTATTTTCATATAAGATGGTAGTTAAAGAAAACAAATTATCAAAATTTATGACTGTTGATTTACATGTTTTGCTCTAAGATAAACTGAGACGTATTAATTACGTAAACAGTCAAATGAAAATGTGTCATTTATTTCCTATAGTCAAACTTGACTTTTTCTCTTACTCAAATGTTTCATTTATCTTGGTATAAAATGAAGCATTTTCTTGGAATTCAATGAAACTTCTATTTTAAAAGAAATTCCGATATGTACGTATATTCTATTTGAGGTCAAGATCTCGTAAATAACTTGAGACTAATTTTTTGGTGCTAGATCCATTATAACGTCATAATCAATTTCAACTTTCTTTTTCCCGTACTTTACGGCTTTAGCAGAATTATGTAGAAAATAAGGGTATTTACATATTATTCAATTTGAAATCATATTTAAAGTAAACCAGATACCTATATTAAATTTCATATTGATTTGAAGAAGAGTCCATGAACATACTAATTACCGTTTTCTAGGAGACTGTAGGCAATCTGCATACATGTCCTTCGCCGAATAAGAATAAAACTCCCATATTCATAACTGGTTTTCTTAAGTTTTCATTGAAAATGAAAGCTTAAAATACAGTTTTTCATCTTGTTTACCTACAAATTATGCCCCGAAACACCTTATTTGACCAAGCTAAAGTTGTTAAGCATCAATAAAAGAATTTATTTCTCAAGTTTGATAAATCTGTAGGCACCTTTCGTTTACTAGATCCTGACCTTAATATCATTTTGAAGAAAAACAAAGATCGTACAAATAACCGTCATTGAAAAGACTGTAGGCAGTTTGAATACACTTTGAAGTCTTTGCTTAATATGAAAAATTCTTATATATAGAAGACATTTAGTGTTTTTTTTTCTTCATTTTCCATTCAAAATGACAAAAGTATATTTTCGTCGTGTTTACCTTACAATCTTGCCCATTACACATTAATTTGCTTTGTTAAAGTTATAGTGATATAGTATCATTAGAGGAATACATTTTTCACAATTGAGAAATCCGTAAGCAAATTTCATTTACTTAATCTGACTTTAATAAATGGGCCACTTACGTTATTCAGTACACAGTATTGTTAGCTCAAAAAATATGTAAATAGTTTTAATTAGACTTACCTTCTGTGGGTAGAACAACGGTCGGTGGTATACAAGTATTTGGCGCTAAAAATCAAATGCTCCATGTTCATCTCAATGTTTACATACACGATATATCATGCAAATAAGAAACAATGAAATTATGTAAGTCGTTCAAATGTATCAAAGATATGTTAACTATTTGTTCAACTGAAAATATTCAAGGGGAAGGCTGTATTGGTTTTTTTTTTCATTCAAATACTTACATCCAAATTTAAAAGCCTCAAATATATCCTCTGCAATCGATTCTTGATTTCTTCTCCGTGCGTTAATATAATTGTAGACTCTATGTTTTTGGGGAATTGGTGGATCAACAAGAACAGGAATCAAAATATTTTTTTCGGGACTCTCATGGGCCGCCATTATTCCATAGTCGATTTCAGTGATACATAATTGGCTCATATTGAATGCGTTACTAATAAGATACACTATCTTCTGACTCACTTTAATACCTTCTGCTATTTTGGAAATAATGGACGAACCTGGTTCAAAGTCCTCAAAGGTTTGACATCGTAGTCCGTACTTCGTCTGCAGAATATCTTTTAAATTATAAGCCAATTCTTTGTCCTCATTGCTGTAAGACAAAAATATGTGATAATCTTTTCCACGGGGTAGAGGAAACTGTTGAAGACCATTTTGAGGTTTACCCTCCATATCCTATATCAATATTAAGAAGAAACAAACAAATGGGTTGATTTATACGTTTACGTATCTATCTACTAAGTTTTTTAAAGTAAGAATTCTATATCGATTCCATCTCGAATAACAAAAAAAGAATTGCATGATTGGTTTTAAATACATGTATTAATATATAAGTTTAATTATCTTTATATCTTTTTTGTAAAAGACACACAACACACAACACATTAAATTCCAGTAGGAGGTAGTGTCATATTAAATCCCACGAGGACGTATTTTACTCTCTGGCAGAGGAAACATTACTATGTTGTTAATCGATTGAAGTAAAATTTGATTCTTCATAACTTTACCTGGGAGAAGCAAATTTCAATCCGTTTCTTATTTTCCTTTCTTTGTGGGTTCTTGTCTGAGATTTTTAAAATCAGTTTGTGACGCTTTGAGACCTGAGAATAACGATAACTTTTCTGTCAACGAGCCACAATGGTAGAGGGAAAGTTAGTCTTTGGTTGTTTGATATATATTGGAGTATTTGAGGTATGTTCTCACTATGTTTACATTCAATATTGCCAAAACATTTAAAAGTCATTTAGATTCCAATATGTTTATCATTCTGTGTGTGTGTAAGAGAGAGAAAGATTGTATCTGTGGGTGAGTGGATGGGAAGGGGAGAGGGGGCGGTACATATCGGCGGCAGTCCCAATATACAGCCACCACCAAATCATATTTATCGCCTATCGAAACATATTCTTTTCGGCAGGAAAATTATACCATAGGTCTATGTATGTACGAGCTTGCAAGTACATTTTCACTGTCACTTTGTTTGACCGCATGACCAAAATCACGATAACTGGTCAGATGAGAATTTTGGTTTTTGTGCACTGATATCTGTGCTAAGAATTATTTAACCGTGAAATGTATGTAGGAAAAGTAGTAAAAAGCCAAAACATGTCCAAATTGAATACAACAAGTTTGTCATCAAACATATTTTACATCGTGGTGCACTTAAGTCTACATTATGAAAATGGCAGCAACGTGTTGGTGTGTAATTTCTTGTAAATTTCCCCCCATGCAACGTCTTACAGCTCGTCAGATAGAAAAGAAACTGATTGCATAATTTTAGGTTTTCAGTCGGTCAACTTTATGTTGTTGCTCCTCTCGTTTGTGCATGTGTGGTTTCGTTTGCACATTATTTCGGCCTAATGTATAGCCAGGGTTTGTTTAGACTTTCTAGCAAACAACCACTTTTACACACCCGACTGGTCTCTGTTAATTCAATCTTTTTTCTCATTTGAGCATTTGTGGAATTTTAAAGTGAATGATAGGGTTAAAATACCAAAGATGGTCATTTTCAATATAGGTCCTCCTTGTCGAAAGGATTGAATAATATCTTACTGGAAGGATAATCAATATGACGAACTCAATGCAAAGGAGAATCAAGGCTGTCACAAAACGCAAGGGACACATTGAAGATCATGAGAAAATTTGAAATCGTCCTTTTAGTTTAATTAATTTATTATAAGGCAAAGTCAAATGGAGTTTTGGTTATGATACATTTTCATTTAAAACGTTTGATAGGAATTAATACTGAAAAATCGAAGAAGAAAAAATAAAGATTTAGATTTTTCATAACATTTACATAGTGCCATTTTGCGACTTATGTTTTACTTTTTGATCTGCCACTTATTTCGGCTCTCCCATAGCAAAATATGGACTTTGCTATTATAGTTCTCTTTGTGGATGGGGTATCATTTTGTGACCTTAATGCTCTCGGTACCCCCGGTTTTTATTTTATGTGTGGGATTGTTTATTTTCTTCCCGTTACATAGGGTTTCATTTAGCATTCTTCGATAATAGCGTTAAAACAAAAAAAAAATTCCTGTGAACTAGGCTCCTCTATTTACGTGGATGCTAGGAGATGGTAATTAAATTCTCAAGTTGGTGGCAATTTTAGTAAAATCAGATTATTTATTTTCATGCTCTTGCAGGAATGAATATTTATGTCCCCGATGGTCAAGGACAAGGAGGTAAAAAAAGAAAATCTGACAAACCGGACAACTCATCGATCAATTTCTTGGAGCGTGGGGGTGGGGGTACCAACAAATGTCAAAATCAATTTAATAATTTTCCTAGCCAACATATGTCATTTTTCAACTCCAGTGAAGCAACTGTAGTAATTGGTATATACATTTGCAGCCCAAATGTAATAATGTAGAGAGGAGAAAAGTGCGAATAATGGACTTTACGAGAAGCGCTGACTTTTACGGTTGACGAATTACTTTCACACTAGGACAGTGTATGGAAACTCTTTGACGATATATTAGTTTAGCTTAACATTTAATTCAACGAAAATAACGGGCTATTTTAAAGCACAATTAAGTTGTTCCTGAAGAAAACGACAACCATCCTAACCTCAAATACAGTCCTTCTCATACAAGTGCCCATAACACCATTACCATGTCCACTAGAAAGGTTTTCTTTTCCATGATCAATTCTGTACCTCCGTAGATAAGAATGTGTAAATGTCCAAGTAAACAGTCAAATCTTAAAGTCAGTATCACACCGGTAATTGACCAATCAAAATGAACTTAGTCAAATGTAGGTCCATACATATAAAATAATTTTTTCTTTCTTTTGATGGTTTTTTTAATTTTCTTTTTTGCTATTTTTACAACTTTGGTACCTGTGCCTAGTAAATTTAATGTACTTTGTAAATAAAAAAAGTTTTTTGACAGGAACTATTTTTTTCAGGACATAGGAGGCTACTTCCTGGGGTGCATCGGACCTGTTTATAAACATGCTGAAAACACGTGGATTTGAGGGTAACCCTGTTTGCAGATGGAAAAAGTCAGAAAATACCGTGTGGGTACCCTGTTTTTTGGACTCGGCCAATGAGAGAGGTAATGTTTAACAATTTCTGCTAAGTATTTTTTCATGAATAATTTTTCCTGATTTTTAAAGAATTTTTTTCCTATATAGAAACATATAGTGAAAATAATTACTGGTGTGATACCTTTAAACTTGTATCATGTACGGAAGTACAGAATTGATAATGCATTAGAAAACCTTCCTTATGGTCATAGGTATGTATGGTGTTAGGGGCATTTACATGTGAAGACCGGGAGTTGAGGGTAGGGTCGTTGTCGATTTCTTCAAGGACAACTTATATGTGCATTGAAATAACCCATTATTTCCGTTTAATTAAATATTGACCTAAATATCTATATCGTAAAGGAGCTACCGTACATAGCCCTAGTGTAAAAGTAAGCGTCAACTGTTAAAGTCAGCGCTCCTGTAAAATTCCTATACGAACTCTGAAACTTCACTCGGGGTCTTGGAAAACCTTTGAACAAGAAATATTTATCCTTGGATATACATTGTACATGTACCATACCAATTATGTAATTTGAAAATGCATGTCATTGCGAATGTAGTAAACATAAAATAAAGTTAATACTTTCCATATAGTTAAATTCAAGACATATTCTGTTTATATTGTCATGGTCTTTTAGATATTTATGTTAGCATGTATACCTATTTTATTAATTTTAAATATTACACGTTCTTTTGGTTTCTATATTTAATATTGTTAAAATTTTGTCCCATCAAACTCTCTAAGAAATAATGTACAAAAGTATAACCCTTCCATTTGCTCAATCAATAAATACATCGACTTAAAAAAAGCATATAGACCTTGCACTTCGTGCTCTCTTGATGATTTTCTGTAAAGTCGATATATTGATGGATCGAATCATGAAAAGGCAAAATTTATAATATATACTGGATCATAAACAATAATAAGATCAACATAATTCATGAAAATAGGCTCACGTAGTAGACGTATGGGTAAATAAATGATGTCTGGTTCACTGTGTGCTGTTTTGTATATATGCACTCATAGATCAAGACAAAAATGTTTTCATGTCCTTGTCAATAACATACTAGTAGTAAGTAGTTACTGTGAACCATTTTTACGATTTCAAATTTAAATTTAAACTTTAAAGAAGTCATCTTCGTATTCATCTCCCTTTTTGCAGGTAACACATTTATTTGGATGTTCCTATCCTTACGGATATTATGACGGACAATGTGTTTACTCTCCCGAAAACACTCTGTACGTGAATGAAACCTACAATCTCTTTTATCCTCCTCCAGATATGACATTCTGCAAGGAAGTCTGTCCAACGAGTAAACCATTCATCTTTAAAAGGTCATGTGTTGAAAAATGTCCGTTAGGATTTTCTGAAAAAAGAATGTCCAATGTCCAATATTGCAAGAACGAGACAGATGGCATTGAAGGTTTCTGTCCAGTCAACTACTGCAAAGAACCGTTTTCATTTTGTTATCGTATGAGATGCTTGGCAGCTTGCCCAACCTTTACCTTTAGATACTTCAATGACTGCACTTTGGAGTGTCCCTCAGATAAACCCGTAATTTACAATCGAACGTGTGTTGGAAGTTGTCCAGAAGATTCAACATTTTTGCAATTTGGAGAATGTGTTAATAAATGCTCATATGGTTTCCTAAGATCAGGAGTATGTGTCAAAAAATGTCTACCTGGGGAATTCGTCAAAGACAATGTATGTGTGGTAAAATGTGATTATGACTATACTTTTGAGATTAATGATGTTACATATTGTCTTGATTCATGTCCAAAGCTTACAGTATCTAAAAACGGATCTTGTTCAACCAGTTGTCCAAAGGAATTGCCTTTCTATCTGAACAAATCTTGTGTGAGATCATGCCCAAAATATAGGATGTATATCTTACCAGTTACAACACAATATAAGAAATTACGTTTTCTTTGTGTTGAGTTCTGTCCCAAATATTTTACCCATTCAAATCGTTTGTGTACAAATTCATGCATGCCAAACGAGGTTTTATACAAAAATGAATGTCGGATAACCTGTCCCGAATCTGATCCTTATCTTATTTACCTAGATTCCTTAATGATGTATCATTTTTATTTCAATACCTCTTATATTATTGAGGGACCAATAATTGCTAAAGGTATTTGTGTGAAACAATGTGGTACCCATTTTGTTTT